ATTAGAAACTGAGAAGACAAACCCAACCCCATTTTTTAAAGTCTTGTCTGGCTCATGATTTTCACCATTAGGCTAGACAATATCACATTCCCTTTCTTTCATTGTGTACCCTCCTGTAATCTGCCCTCAGTGAGTCACAGCAGCAACCACCTCTTCTTTCTCAAAGCCAAACAAGAACGGGAACAGCAGAGACAGACAGACAGGGAAACTGAGAAGACAAACCCAACCCCATTTTTTAAAGTCTTGTCTGGCTCATGATTTTCACCATTAGGCTAGACAATATCACATTCCCTTTCTTTCATTGTGTACCCTCCTGTAATCTGCCCTCAGTGAGTCACAGCAGCAACCACCTCTTCTTTCTCAAAGCCAAACAAGAACGGGAACAGCAGAGACAGACAGACAGGATGCCTGCTCCTCATCACAACTCCAAGAACCCCAGCTCCTCTCCCAGGAGGCTAGCAGCTTGTGAGAGGAGAGCAAGCAGAGCTTGGGGTCAGTACTGGCTCACCTTGAGCCACCGGACTGCAACCATCTCCTCCCAGCTGTTCCCTCCCAGCCGAGACGCAGCTGGATGACCCCCAGTCAGTCTGGTGCCTGCTCACCCCTCAGCTAGATGGATGGCACACCAGAGAACCCCAATAAAATGCAGGCAGCTGTGAGAGGGCCATCCGTGGGTGTTGCACAGGTGATACAGGACACCTAGCAGTGCTGTGTATTGTGGGCAGGGCTAATTTCATTACTTATATATATATATATAACCACAAAATCGAATTCCTCAGTCATTCCAGAGTCCAGGCATTGTACATAGGATCAGCTCCATCATCCAGACCATGGCTCAGCATGTCATTCTCTGTTTGTAAGAGGGGCAAAATCTAATAAACCCTGTACTTGCATAGTAACCTTTCAGTCAAGGATCTCACAGCACTATGTATCATCCATGTTCTACTGGAGTGTACACACTAAGGTGAAGTGACTTGCTCAAAGAGATATGAGGAGTCAGCAACAATCAAACAGAAACTGGCTGGCTCTAACTAATAGACAGCACTACCTCATAGCAGCAGGGATGCCACCACATAAAAGCTGACCAGAGCACTTTCCCAAACTTCGAAGCTCAAGGCCGGTTAGGGCCCTTAGGTGAGAGCACTAAAAGAAAAGTACCAGATATTACAGATACTTATGTCAGATTGCAAAAGGTAGAACTTACCCTGTAAGTCACTGCTGAACAGTGTCCCAACCTCATAGGCAACTGGTGCCTGCAGGGGCCAGGGAGGACCACCTTGAGGGACAAGGAGAGGACAAGAGGGAGCACCCCAGTTAGTAACTGACATTGGATGGGATCATGCAGGGGCAGAGTGGGGCGGGGAGAGAGGCAGTGAATCTCTTGAATGCTGCCACGAATCCCCTGTGCCTGGCTTCGTACTTTGTCATCAACTGCTAGATATTAAATAGCTAGAGTGCGCCATTGGAACATATACAAGATATTAGGCCATATTCAGACTTGGGTACCTGTGCAGTAAGTGTTTATCACCCCCCATCCCCCGCTGATCTTTATGGGAGCTTCTGGTGCTCCATATATTAAACTGCTGGAGACAAAGTGCTCTTCAGTATTCTAGCTCTTTCAATGGTCAACTGAGGATTGTTCCTAGTTTTAATTCGATTATTTTTTATCTGCCTCCCACTTAGACATTGTGGAACGAAGGATTTAGAGCATGGATATAGGTACACAAGCATACATGTGTATAAAATGTCATTTTGGCTAACCTTCCAAATGCTGGGTTCTGGTCCAACATGTCTTTTTGACAAACTTTGCTCCCTCAAAGTACAGTGTATTTAACTTGCAATGGTATGGGGTCACAGAAATAAGACTCAGTTCCTTGATCCCTCTTCTGCTCCCTCCTCTCCCCACCCAATTATGAATGAAGGAAACCTACACAATTCACGTTTTATTGCAAAATATTAAAATAAATTACATTTGACAGAGTCATCCAATATTTACATACATTGTGATTCCAGTGACAATCACCAAACACACAAAGAACAAACAGACGTGTTCATGTGACGGAGTGACAGAAATGAGATCACCGGGGCTGCACAGACCTTAGGGTCTCTTAGTAGACTGAAGCCTAGAAGGCAAGAAGAATATAGAAAAGATAGAGCTCTCAAGCTCCTATTAAGGGCATTAGGGCTTCTGTGTTTTTTAAATTCCTATTTTACTGAGAATGGTGGTATATTTTTATATGTAACACTGAAATCAAATGAAGAGGAGTCAGATCTTATGTAGGATAACAAGGTCAGTAAGCACTGGTTTTAAGTTTATGACATTCATTGGCAGCAACAGATTCACACAAAACCCCAGCATTGGAAGAACCCATGCTCATTTTGTCTATTACTCAGCAGTTTTGTACCAATGTATCAGATTTATTAGTCTGCCTGCCACAAAACAGACACCACTGAAACCCTAACTGGCGCAAGACAAAGGGAATAACACTGATCGAGAGCTAAGTGGAAGATGAGTCTGCCTTGTCTTTATAATTTGGATGTAGTCTTCATCACAAGACCCTGTTGTGAGTGCCAATGTCTTTTACAGCCTTAGATCATCTTGGCAAATGGTAATCAGGCATGAAAGGGGAAACCACATTCAAATTTAATGGCCCAGAGATGGCTAGAAGTAGGTTAACAGTTATTAGTCAGCTGGAAGGACTTCCCCTCTACATACATCTATATCTGCCATTCATGTTTTTATTAAAGTTAGCAGCTGACCACATAATCCCATTTATAAAACTGAAATTACTGAAGAACAAAGCACAGCCTCGGTTCACAAACCCCAGTCAAATTCTAAATGGTGGTAAATCGTAAACTTAAGTTTCTTTGAACTACTTCACATTATACAAAATTTTCCCCAAGCAGCATCTGGGAATTGATACTAGCTAGAGGCACTTTTATGATCAAGAGCTAAAACATCGGGCACACGTCTGGTTCACTACACGTGGCTCAAAGGGCAAGGAGACAATGCTAGTTTTGGCCCCAGACTATTACTTTGCTAAAACACGGATGACAGAGACAGCTGGCTGGCTTAGAACTCAAGCAATTCTGAGATGGCACTAGGATCTGAAGAATACTTAGGGAAACAAAAATCACCTCTTTGCTTTTGTGTGGGCCCTCTGCAATATACCAATTCAATTCTACTTAATCTGTGGATGCAAAGCAGGATTTAATTGGTGCACAGCCCTTGTGCTGGCCCACTGCAAAGAGGTGAATTTTGCTCAATAGCTTTACGGTAAGGCACATGGGTGGGCTGTCTTGAGCACAATACTATCAGGTGTGTTTGTCTCAAAAAAAAAAAAAAAATCTGCATTTAGTTCCAGGAAAGTTAATCAGTATCTGAAAATCCATGGTGTTTATACTGTAGACTTTTATACTGTAGGTCAGGAAAGTCCAAACAAGAGCCATGTCAGCAGCATGGCAGAAGGCTGCAACTAATTTGATAACATGGAACAGATTATGTCCCTCTACATCTCTAAAAACAGATGCATTTGGATATGGAGGTTATAAATTCCAAGGTACAACATTCTATCTCAGTCAGTCAGAGTAGCCAAGCAAAGTGTCTGGGTCATGTAATTCCTGTATTAAAGAACCATATTCTAAAACTCTACAGACCACATTTTGGCTGCTTCTCTTCTCTATTTAACATAGAATACCGAGCAGCTAGACTTACTTTCGTTATCTCTTTGGTGTGCCTTTCTCCCCTACCTTAACCCGCAGGTAACTGTCACTAGAGCTTTTGATTTTGGTGTCAACAGTGGAAGACAAGCTGGAGAACAAGAACAGTTTTTGGAGTGTTTTTTTTTTCCAAGTGATGTGCATTTTTTTAAAATGAGACTATAAGACCTGCTACAGTAAAGTCACACCTCCATAAATGGGGCCCTGCCTCATTTCTTATGGTTAGAAAAAACCCTCAGTGGCACTAAGATATACCTGTTATCCATGACTCTCTACACAAGGAGGCATACCTGAAGGGCTGGAGTCATAAAAGGCTGTGAAAAAATGACCTATTATAATTCATCAAAACCATCCTAGTACAAACACTCACTTGTTCTTGTCTATTGCAAATCTGATGTATCTACTCATCAAGACTCCAAAAAGCAGTAAAAGTATGAAATTATGCTTTGAGCTAGATTCCCTCTTCCACTATGACACTGTAAAGGTGGAATAACTGCTGAAACCAATTCAGTTAATTCTACTTTTCCCCTCAACATTTTTTAAACAGAGCAGGATCTTGCCCTTTGTTACAATCAGGTTATACGTTCATGAACATAATACCAATTTCCAAAGCGCAATCAATACAGACATTCCTGGTTTTACAGTAGGTGGCTTCAGAACTTCTTGTCAACAGGATATCTAACTGAATACCCACATGGATCATGCTTTTAAAAATACCATAAGCAAAACGCGACTGTTTTTAAAACGATCTCAACTCTAAATCTAATCTGAAGTACTAAATTGGGGAGATACAGCAAGGATATCTAAAACAGAGATACTGGTCATATTGTACAGGTTTCTGTAGCAGCTCTTCAGGTCCATTCGACAGGCATTGAAACATGGAGACAGGATCAACTACTAAAAAAAGGTGATTTTGTTAAAAAGGAGAGAGAAACTAAAACTTCATCTCTACAGACAAAGTGTATTCAAGTATTTTCTTTAGACTATGGACCGTAGAAGGACACTTGCAATGTAAAAAGTCTGTCATATCTTTTGTGCTCCTCTATGTTGATCAAGCAGGCCTTGTACAGTTCTTGGCTACTGGACACAGTGAACTTTAACCACAAGTGCTTTTCATGCCCCTAAGGATGATTTTGTCCCAGGTAGGTTTTTGTTTGCTAAACAGGCTCTCTCTAAACCAGTTTCTTTGGTGTTTTTAGTTTAATACTTTTGTTCATAAATTTACTGCTCACCATTTACTAATAGCATTGGCATAATCCAGACAAACACCATGATAGCACTTTGATGCTTCTTTACTTACTGTTGCCAATGCACCTCAACTCTGACCTTAAGTACATCCTACTATTCTAGTCCCAAACTTCTATTAGAGAGACGCTACCAATTATGCCACATCTAGCGATAGCAAGTTGGCAATGGGTAGCTGGAATAAGACCCCAAATTTATTTTCACTTGTGATCCACACAGGACTTGTATCCACCTTTCCAGAGGTGAACACCTAGTTCAGTAATCTACCATGGTTTATATGCCTAAACCAATTTGTCTGCAACTGGATAGTTTCACAACAAATGAATTCTCCCATAAAAAGCACAAAAAAATAGGCCCAGTGTAACAACTTTAGTCATTTCCTCCCACTTCAAAGAACTAGAGTCCCAAGAGGAAGGAAGATGCGTTAAGCTTTGAATTGTCATCTTGTAACTGGTCTAACACAGACAAGCAAAGCTGATTGATTGGACTCCAAAAGCAAACAACTTTTGATGACATTAAGACATAAGAGGTTTTTGGTTTGGTGTTAGAAAGAGAAGGTGCTAATACATTTGCCTTCCTTCTGCGTAAGTTCTGAACAGACAGTATTAATCACCTTCAAAAAACCATTGCTAAAACATGTGCTGGTTCATGTTGTAGCTGTTACATTGTTTACTGTGTTGTACACATTCATTAGTTGTTCATAAGGCACTGAAATCTCTGACTCGTTACTCGTACAGGTAGATTCATCAGAGGATGGGAATTTCACCAGTTTTTTGGGAGTCTCAGGTTCCTCTGCAAGATTGTCATCCATGGAGGACTTTGAAGTTTCCTCATCATCTGAAAGATCTTCCTCATCGTCTTCTTCCTCATTTACAAAAGTTATATTGGCACTTTCTAAGATCAGGGGTCGGTTATCCCTGGAGTCCCAAGTTTCCCCTTCTTCCTCGCTGATCCGGTCTAGCTGGTTTACAAACATGGTGTCCTCCAGATGACTCTCTCCAGTGCATTTGTCATTTAGGTGCCTCATGACATGGCCATTTCTAAGTCCCAGGGACACCTTGTCAAAATCAAAGGATTTCCTCTTTGTGTATATCACCTGGGCATCCTTGTTGGCATGCTGGATATTTGGTTTGGCATTTTCTGCTTTACTCATTTTCTCATTGCTTGTCTTCAAAGCCTTCTTTCCAATCTGCTTGATGAGATCATTGTAAGTTTCTTCCTTCTTGGAAAGGAAGCTGAAGATGTTCACATCCTTGGAGCTGCCCATCTGGAGAGACTTTTTAGAGGGAGAGTGGTTTCCAAAGGACTCTTTTCTTTTTTTCCTCCTTTTCTTGATTGCTTTGTGGACTTCCACAAACATGCTGACCTTCCAATTGACAAAGAGTGAAAGCCAAGCTAAGCCCAGATAGATCCACAATTCCACAAAATATCTGTAAAGGGCATGGTAGTTTGCATTCGGGTTTACGCCTGTAAAGAAGGCAAAACAAAACAAGTATATATAAAGCTGAAGGAAGTTTTTGTCTGGATATGATGTAAAATCCAATAAAGAATCTTGAAGTGTTTTCAAAACACCATTTTCACACCAAGAACAAAGTTGAAACTGAAAACATGGGGAGGTCTGTATTTAAACTCTCCTAGAATTAGTTACTCTATATAAATCATTTTTCTATACAAAACCCAATGTTTTTAAATGGGTTAGGGAGAAAGAACAATTTAATTATCCAAGTCTAAGCCAGGAATCATTCTGTTTCAAACTCTACTGGGTGGATTTGGACAAGTCAGGTCCACATTTTCAGGAGTGCCTTCTACATTATGACGATGAACTCTGAATATTGAGCCCAAGATATCTAGAGGTGCTAGTCATCCACAGCTCCCACTGCTTTGAGTTAATTTATGAGCTCACTGCACTTCTGGGAAACTAGTAGAACTCAAAGCAAAGTCTAGGTGGCTGAAGTTGAGCACCCAAGATGGAAAGTCACTCAAATATTAGGCCTCAAAAGCTGGTGTCTCATTTTCTCCCATCTGAGAAACAGCGACAACACTTGCCTAACAAGTATCAAAGCGTTAGCAAAAAAATGTCCTGTGGCACCTTACAGACTAACAGATATATTGGAGCATAAGCTTTTGTGGGCAAAGACCCACTTCGTCAGATGCAAGCCTTACATTGACTCTATGAGGCTTGTTTCTAAAAAGTTGTGATTGTTGCAGAAGTGTGTGTGCGTGAAATATTTATAACTCACCTTATGATTATTGAGATAGCCATAAAGAATTCAATTGACTTGCCTGATGTCAACTAAAAGTTGGGGGCTTCACGGTTCCCCAGCTCTTTGGCCTAACCCAAAGCTTTTTAATTAATGAGGTTAGACCACAAGTCCTCTGGGTCACACCTAAAATGATGAGACACTAGCAAAGTCCTGTGATTGCTATGATCAGCACAAGTAAGGATAAGAAAGGAGCAGCATCTCCTACTCCACAGTGTGGAGACAACTCTCCTTACCACTCACTCTCGTCAGCTCAGTGCTCTGCAGAGACTGGGGAAAGAAAAGAGTCTAGAAATTGCCATTTTTGAGAAGTTGCTTGCAGGGCCAGCTCCAGAATCTCTTGGAATAATGCTGATCTTTAATAAAAGCTTCAGTAATGCAAAAGCCTCCAGATGCATCCACACCTCAGGAAGCTGAAAACACACACACACTCACCACTGACATTTACACAGACATTACATTTACATTACACACCTCAGGCAATATATAAAAAAACAGGGAATTAACTGACCAGCCACAAAGTCTCCAAATCCTATGGTGGTGATTGTGATGAATGAGAAATAGAGACCTTCAATGTAGTTCCAGCCTTCAGTCACCATAAAGACAAAGGGAGGAATGACCAGATGAACTAAAACTCCCCAGACAATGAAAATAGCTGTGCATGTAATTTGTGCCTTTCGCTGTGAAGGAAAAAAAAAAAAAATTTACATACAAGTCGTTTTCTTCCACCCCATGCATTTTATCTCACATCCATCAATGCTGGCCATAAATACTGCCCACAAGCCTATCACCGACCCTGCACAGTTGCTGCTGGAGTAAAAGATAAGGCATGTTTCGGTAGAAAGGAAGGGGGCTGCAAAAGGACAGTGTAGGCAGAAGCACAATTGTCAGAAAGGGAGCAAATGATCAGTGTAGGAGTACTATGGGGTTGACAGGGCTCAGGAGAAAAAGGAGAGCCAGGATATGTTACATGAATTAACCATGCAGAATTCTGAATTCCTAGGCTTCAATTCTAGCAAAGGTTTTTGGAACCCACACAAGCCACTCAAACTGCATTAGGGGGGAGGTGACACCACCAACACCTTTGAGAGAACCGGCCTGAAAGTAATACACATCTGCCTGTTAATTCTCTACGGGCAAAACTCGTTCTGACACCGAGCTTGGGCCCACAGCACTCATACTCTGTACTGAGGGCTGAGGATATTGCGATGGGAGTAGCTGTAAGAATAATCACCACACACACTGCAATTCATGATATATATGGAGAGAATTTTAGCAATTTCCTTCCCATTCTTCCCCAACTCCTGCATATACCCCATTTACTTGTCTGCATACATACACATCTATATTTCGCCCTCAACAGTGTCCTGTACTTGCTTGGATTTACTGCAAACACTCAGCTATGTATAATGTTGTACGCATCTCTGTTACACTCTTTTGTAACTGTCGCCATAGCGACTAGAACATTATTAAATGTCTGTATGACAGTATAAGCTAGAGGCCCAATCAAGGCCCCTTTGCGATAAGTGCTGTACAAACTCTAGTGGACATGGACCTTGTCTGAGAGAGCTTACGAACAGGGCTCAGTCCTTTGCTCAGTTCAACCCATGTAACCCCATTGCAGAATATGGCCCTTAAGAGCAAAGTACACTACCAAGATTAAGCAGATAGCCGAAGAACTAGATGTTCAAGTCATATACCAACCACACCCAACAAGAAGAAAAACAAGCATAAATCCATACCAGGCTTACTCCTCTCTTTGTTAGGAACTGGCCTAGCCTTTTGGCACGCCCACCGAAGAACTTTCCCAAGGCACTGATCCATGTCAAGCAGAGAGGAACTCCAAAGAGGCCATAAAATACGCAGAAGACACGTCCAGCGGGCGTCTTTGGAGCAACATTTCCATAGCCTGAAAGAGATAAAAGACAATTACACAGATGCCAATTCAAGGCAGTTCAGAATATACACAGGGAATTGTAGTCTCTCTGTGGACCAGATAAGCAGGAAATTAAAGAGAGACCTGACCTGGAGAGTTCTAAAAAGAATTCTTTCTTCCAGTAAATATTGTGAAAATTTTTAGTCTTATACATTATTCAAACCTGAGTCAGACTTCATCCTCTACACATTTACTAATGGAGACATAAGAATAAGAAAAAAAAAACAACAAATGGTTGAAGTGCCACGAAAGCTCATGATACATCTACATGTTTTGTTAGCCTATAAAGTGCTACCAGACCATTTGTTGTTTTTTTTCCTGTACAGACTAACTCAGCTACCCCCTGAAGCATAAGAATAAGAGTATGTCTAAGACTACAGATGTCTGCTGACATAGATGTTCAGTCAGGGGTGTGGAGAGGTGTGATTCCTAATAAACACTGCTGTGCGGGCAGAATTCCCTACTGTAGATGCATTACCAATAAAGCTATTCTGTTACCAACATGGTTTGCTTCTCCTGTGGGCTGTGTCTAGACTGGCAAGTTTTTCCACAAAATCATCTGCTTTCGCGGAAAAACTTGCCAGCTGTCTACACTGGCCGCTTGAATTTCCGGAAAAGCACTGATGATCTCATGTAAGATTGTCAGTGCTTTTGCGGAAATACTATGCTGCTCCTGTTTGGGCAAAAGGGCCAGTGTAGACAGCACAGTACTATTTTCTGCAAAAAAGCCCCGATCGCCATTTTCGCGATCGGGGCTTTTTTGCAGAAAATAGTACTGTGCTGTCTACACTGGCCCTTTTGCCCAAACAGGAGCAGCATAGTATTTCCGCAAAAGCACTGACAATCTTACATGAGATCATCAGTGCTTTTCCGGAAATTCAAGCGGCCAGTGTAGACAGCTGGCAAGTTTTTCCGCGAAAGCAGATGATTTTGTGGATTTATAGGTGGGGGTGGTTTTACTTTACTAGTACTAAGTGCACCTTTAACCATATAGCTACATCCACACCAGGAGTACTTTGTTGGTGTAGAACACTGGCATTTCTATACCAGTAATATGCTCCTAATGAAGACACAACCCAAGGAAGGAGAAGCCAAAACTGTCCCTGGGGCATAAATTTTCTTTTTATGAGATCCATCTAAGCTTTGTCCTGGCATTTCCGCAGCTAAAGAAAGCCTGCTAGGGAAGAGGTGGAGGAAAGGTTTGACAGAGCAAGATGCCTTGGCTAGGGCTTGGGCCTCCGATAGTGCTGAACAGATATTCTGACCACAGTCCCAGTAAGGACAGCTAGCTACGTGTCTAACCCCTCGGCGTCAGTACTTCCTTGTTTAAATCCGTTTTTGCTTTCTTTAACTTTTTACTGGAAGTTTAAAGAACAATAAAATCAGGGTTCGCCCCCCCTCCCCCCAAAAAAGATTTTTAATAATAGTAACAAGCAGAACAATTTGGTTTAGCAGCAAGGTTTCCACCTCCCATGGTCAGTTTGTGTTTGCAAACACTTTATGTGTTCCTTGTCAAAACAAAAGCAATAAACAGTGCCCCTAATGTTTTCCTGCATCTTGCAGGGCTCTCTGGGCCCATGGGAGATCCATATCTTCTGCAATGGTAAAGAAGATCTTTGCAAAAGAGCTGCAGCTAATTTTCCAAGTTCTGCAGCACCATCTGTTTGCATACCCTATGAGGAATAAGTTTTATGGTACTACAGGGTTTCACATGAACAAATCAGCACACAGATTTAGGAGAGTGACTCAATTCTGCTGAGCTTTACCTATGAAAAATACAAGAGACAGACAGGACAGCCTTCAGATCTGTCTCTTTCGCTAATAACAGTGCATTTATCAACAGATTGTTTGGGAGCGCGTGGAACTATACGTGATAGGAGAGTTTCACAAAATCTCTCACATATGCGGATGCTCCAAGCCCCAAAGAACATTCCTTTAAGTTAAAGGCAATACTCTGGGCAAGCGTAAGCTTCGACTGGCACTAAGAACACATGAACCCCACCTTGTCAGCACACTGCATCTGCAATGACTCTGCAAGGGAAACATTTCTATGATGTATTTCAAGGGATTGAGTACTGTGGAAAACAGACTGAAAAAGTGTCAGTTCCCCACCAAATGTGCCTCAAAGATACATTTTCTAAGTTTTTTTTTTTTTGATTTATAGATACTTCCTATAAGCTTTTATTGTCCTTCAGCAGACAGCCCTTTGGACATGACACAGCATCATTGGGGCTTAAAAATTAAAGGCCAGACGACTTTACATGTGAAATACCCACCGATTGTAGTGATTACTGTAGCAGCAAAGATAACAGCATTAGGCCAATTCCAGTTGTTGAAAGTGTTGTTCCCAGTGATAGCAACCCCTTGCCCAGCAGCATTTGACACCTCCTACAAGGAAAAAATTGATACATAAAGTCATCTGGATACAATGCCCAACACAAAGCTTGAAGTAGAATGCCCATCATGTCAGTTCAACCTTGAAAAATGACAATGAAATTTTACTGGGCACCAAGTTTACTCACCCATCCTTACTAAGATTGGGGGAGTGGGGAAGGAGATGCAACCAACTATAAGAATGACCCAAAGTGAGTCAGATCAAAGATCCATCTAAGCCAGTGTTTGGTCTTCTGACAGTGGTCAATGCCAGGTGTTTCACAGAGGGAATGAACAGAACAGGGAACAGAATAGAATAGTGAGATAAATAGAAAGGAACATAAACACTGTCAAATCAAGTGTAAAAATGTAATAAGAAAAGCAAAAAAAGATTGAGGAACAGCTAGCCAAAAACTCAAAAAGAAATAACAAAATGTTTTTTAAGTACATTAGAAGCAGGAAGCCTGCTAAAAAACCTGTGGGTCCCCTAGATGATCGAGCTAGAAAAGGAGCAATCAAGGACGATAAAGCCATGCGGAGAAACTAAATGATTTCTTTGCTTCAGTCTTCACGGCTGAGGATGTTGGGGAGATTCCCGAATCTGCACTGTCCTTTGTGGGTGATGAATCTGAGGAACTGTCCTGGATTGAAGTGTCATTAGAGGAGGTTTTGGAACAAATAGAAAAACTTAATGTTAACAAATCTCCGGGACCGGATGGCATTCATCCAAGGGTTCTAAAAACTCAAATGGGAAATTGCTGAGCTATTA